TAAATTTCTAAACTATTAAATGTTTTTAATAATATAATTAATTCGAAAATTATTCCTATCTATTCTATTTGATTTAGTTATATTAAATTTAATTTAGTGTGGATTAAAGCGATTAAATTTAATTTATAGATAATTTTCTTGATTTATATTATTTTCTAAAATAACTATTTTTTATATAATATACACTTAGTAGATTTACTTATTGTTATCATCTTTAAGCATGTTCAAATTAATGCAATTTAATTTACTACTCGTAAATTTGACGTAAATTTTCGCTTTCTATTTTGTTATATTGCGAAATATCTTACGTAATATTTCGTATAGTCAAACCTCCATATATGCACCCCCCTTGGGACTAGCTATAAACATGTATTTATGGAGGGTGTGCATTTAGAGAATTTTATACAAATTATGTATACCGTATAACCGTGCAGGGGTGTAATTTCAATTTTTGGCCTAAATTAAGATTAATTTGGGCCAAACTTCAAAATAATGCCCCTGTGCGTTATTTCGTAGTTATACAGTAATAATTAAACTTTACTTACTATATACTGATTAAATAATACCTTCAATTTATACTTAACCTAACTTACATTTTTATTAGAAAAAATTCAGTGTGTAAAGAAAAGTGTTTGTTGGGTCTTTATAATAAATATTGGCTTTTTTTTAAAAAAAAAATGTTTACAACCTTGATCCTACCGGGTTTTGAGAACCAACAAATTTTGCAACTTATAATACAGATAGATCGTCCTAAAGAGTTATACTTAATAGCCTTTAGCTATTGACAATTGCTAAGATATTCTAAAACGTACTTCATATATATAAGTTGTAAATACTATATAAGCTTACTGTATAATTTATAAAATTATAATATATTAAAATTACATAAACACAGTCTGCTTTTTTTTAATAGTAAATTGCAGTACTGCATATTGTTATGATATTTAAGTTAGGCAAATACCTACCACTTTATTTGTCTATTATTTAATTCTAAATAATAGCAGAAGCTATCTTCACTTTTGTAAAAAGCAATCTAATCTTATTAATTATTTATTAATGAGTATATTCAATTGCGTTTTATTATCAATGCTATATAACCTTTTATTTAAAATATTTATTTATATGAGTCTATTGGGCTGAACTTACGATTTTGCTTCTAACAAATTTTTCCAAAGAATTAACTAATTTAAATTGCTTACCTGAGCCCTCTTGTTGAAGTAAAAACATGTGAATATTTTCTAAATTATTCAATGCTAAACTACCACTAACAGCTATAATCTCAACACTATCATCCTCATCATCTACTTCAATAATATTTTTATCAACACTTTCATCCTTTTTAAATGTATAAGCAAGCTCCTTGATAATTTGGTCATTTGGAGGGACTTCATAATTGCATTAGGGAGGTTATGCGAACTAAGTGCATTAATAAGCCTATCTAACTCTGAATCGTTGGTATTACGAATGTTATTCGAGAGATTCTGAACTTTGATACTAGCATCAATTGGAAGAATTTTTGTATAATGCTAGCAATTGCGAATAGTTTCAGCAGAGACTTCTTCCCACCCTCTAATTAAGTATTGAATTGCTTGAAGAATATTTATCTTTAAGTCTTGAATCAAATATCCTGCTTCAACTTGGTTTAGTAACCACCTAAATTAATGTAAAAAATAAAAAAAAAATAGAAATGAAGTATAAATAAGTGTCACATAGCTAAAACCTGCAAATCTTATAAGATTTGCAGGTTTTAGCTTTGCATTACTTAAATAACAAAATTACTAATAATATCATAATCATAGATTAAAATAACTACTGAAGATGATAGCAATGGTAAGCTTTTTTAAAAGTCATAATTATTTCTGCATCCATAGGTTGGAGTTTTGAGTTAAGCCATCAAACTTGTGGCTGCTACACTGATTAAGTAATAAAAGTACGTGTTGGCCATTATACTTTTGCGAAACTTGAAGATCAAAATCAAGAAGCAATTCTTGAAAAAGAACCAAAAGCATCCATGCCTTGGCATTATTTCGATATATCATAGGCAAATTTTTAATTTTTACATTTTTAAAGCACCGGGGTTGGCATACTTGCCAATAATAAGAGGATTTAACTTATGAGACCCATCAGCATTTGAATATAATACTACAGAAATACACTCCTTATTTTTTTTATGCTTTGCGAGGCGTTGTGATGCTAGTGTTCAATCTGGCTCCAACCTATAATATATGAAAATTTGAGTTTTTTTAAAAAAAAAAAAAATTGTAATAAAAAAAAAATACCGGTAAAATAGACCAGTCTCATCCATGTTATATATTCTGTTGAAAGAATATCTTGCACATATATCTCGCAGTAATAGCAAAGACTTGATAATAGCATTTTGATCAGCAGATGCTTCTTCACCATGAAGTATTCTTTGACGAATTCTATTTCTTTTCTTAAATTTTTGAAGCCATCCTTGAGAAAATTGTAACTTACCCTCAGGAATCTTTAATTCGCTCGCTAGTAATTTAGCCTTTTCAATAATCAAAGCATTACTCAAAATGGTCCAACTTTGATAAATTAATATAAATTCTTTGAGCACAAGCTCAACATCAGCAAAAAAAATAGACCGATATATATCGATTACTAGCCGGGTAATTATATATCGATACCAATCACCCCTG